GGTGGAACGGGAGCTTCGTGCCCTGGATGTGCATCCCACAAATCTCCATCAACTGCAAGATGCTATCCTATCAATATGGGCCAACATTTCTGAACAATGCTTTCAGCACCTTGTTGAATCAATTCCACATAGAATTAAGGCAGTTCTGAAGGCGAAAGGGGGTCAAACACCTTATTAGTATGGTGTTCCTAATAATCCTTTAGGTGTGTGTATAGTTGCTTTTATAACTTTATAACAAGAGGAGTTACCTATTCATTACCTATTCAAGCAATTTCACACAGCAACATCACTTGACAAATGTTCTCTCTAAATCCAGGTCTTTCTATAAAGGCAAAAAGTGAGGTGCATGTAATTCAGCTTTTTCATTTCATAATATAGTTCAATTGAATGTGATTAAAATTAATAGCAGGGTGCTTCAGACATTGTTCTTCCACATGCACACATGCATTTCTACCAAGGAAGCTTTTCCAGGAATTGTTTATTGCCAAAAACATGGTCCTTCAGCCCCAGCAAGTCATTAAAAAGGGCTGTTACTAGCAATTATATAATCTACGATTGGTAACAGATTACTATCCAAACTTCACAATAACTGTCCAGAACTTTCATAGCAACAGTGTTTTATCATAGACCATGGAAGAATTGGAGACATCCAAAACAATGAAAATGTGTATTTGTTCAGCCATGCCTACAAACACAGAATGGCCAGACAAACAACCCTTCCAAAGGTAATATCCACTGATGCAACGCTCTCTCTGCAGACTAATGCACCATACATTACAATGCAGAGTGTAATCACTGGTGGAACTGCAGAAGAAATTATAACATGCAGATAAATTAGTCTGAAAAAAAAAAAATTCAAACTGAAAAATATTACACAAAAATAACATTTTTGTATAAATTAGCACAGGACATACAGGTTGTACATATCAGACATTAGATCGGCTTAAACGCTGAGAGATTGTTGTTCTTTAAAAACAAAGCAAAAATTCTGCATGCTTTATAGCCACTGACTTTATTTTCAGATTTCTTACCTTTTAAAATGAAACACAATCTATACCAGGCAAAAGCATAAACTTCTCCCATCACCTAATCCTTGTATATCCATCCCAAACCTGTTTACAGATTGGCATTATAAAACTTTAGTTTACAGTGTTAGTATTACAGCGTATGCAATTTCTCTTCACACTACAGAAACGATTCCAACTGACCAATTTTTTTTTCCTAACTCTGGTTTAAGGGGTGGGGGTGGGGAATAAACATACAACATTCAAAGCAGATGACATACGTGTAGTGGACAATGCCATTTTCCCCAAAGAGGCTTATTTTCGGAGGTGGAATTGATTTCAGTGTTTTTGTGACTTGGATTTGCACTCTAACCTAATGACAGAAAGTAGCAGGGACACCATCTTGACTTGACATTCTAATAGGCAAACTGTCTTTTTTTTCCCCACCCCAGTGCTGGAAAGTTGCTTTGGAGAGAGATCCCAACATCCGTGGACAGGCTGTGGTCAGACCCCTGTAGGTGCCAGGCGGCTGACGAAAGCGATGCTGCTGTGACACATCCTGCGGAGGAAGGCTGGGCAAGACGGCTTCATAATGAAGTGCTCTATAAGGATGCGTAGCTCAGTGAAGAGGGTGCTGTTGGGAAAAGAACGCATATATGGAGCATCATATTGGGGCTAAGAGCTAATCGGGAGATGTCCAAACAAGGGTACGAGGGAAATGAAACATGGAGGGCACTTCCGACATAGGAGTATCACAGTAAGCAGATTCGGGGGGGGGGGGGGGGCACAGCCTCTTACCGGCAATAGGGATTTCTCCTGGATGAGTAGCGGAGTGTGAGAAACCGATAGTAGATGAAAGGTAGCAATAAACTCCCCTGGCCACTGGAATAGGGTGGAGGAGATTTTAAGTTAGAATATAACAATGAATAGACTTTGGCTTGACTTTTGACAACTATTGACTTGACTTTGGGAAAATACATTAATGTAGACCACTGGTACAAAAGGTCTACATTGTATAGTACATTAGCATAGACCACTGAAACAGGTGGTCTACATTAACTTGAGTCAATTGATACAAACCTGAATAACATAAATACAGTGGCCGGCATTAGGAATATTTCGTTGCAAGCAATGAATTTCAAGATGTTCTGCTGGTTGGCTGTCAGCTTGTTCAAGAAACTCCTCACAAATGCCAAGCTGTTAGGGCCCATTGTCTGCACAGGAAGATCTAATGGTTACATTCTCCCAAATACATGCACACACACTTTGCCAGTGTCACAAATTCTATTTTAAAAACAGCATTTCATTCATCACCAATGATGCACTGAAATGGTTTAAAACCAGTGGCACACTGCGTAAACCATACAGAATACACACAGATACAATAGCAGCGCGACGACAAAATAAATTCCAGGGGAAAATTCATGAACCTGCAAAAAAAAAAAAGAATGAGACTTACGTCGAGGACTTTTTTTGTGTACGTTGTAGCATGAAGCAGGGAGAAGAGAAAGACTGGAAAGATGCTCACTGAAGATGATGGTTAGGGAAGAACACGAGTCAACAAACCCCTGCCATGCATCTACCCTCCAAAATCTACAGATGAACTACTGGCAACAGACAAATGACACAGGGATTAAAAAAGGCCTTTTAACAGGGTTAAGCTTTAGTTTTTCTAGCCAATAAACAGCAGTGAACAGACTAAGTAACAACTGTGAACAGCTATTTTACTAAAATGTACCAAGCAAAATGTATCTCCCATGTATTAAACTTATTTGGGCGACTCATTTTTGAATAAAGTAATTGAATGAATTTGAGTAATTGAATTGAGTAATTGAATTGAATTGAATTGAATGTAATTGAGTAATTGACTAAGAAAATTTTATCTTCACTCGGAAGCTACTATAAGTGTGATATTATCAACATGTGCGTGATGTGTAACTGGACAAATAGTCAAAAATCGTATAAACAAACTGGGGGACTGTCAACAGGACCACTAATGTTTGGACTGGTGAAGACATTAACATACCGGGTATGAAACTGGGACAATTATTCCCGGTATGAGCTTCTGTGATTATTATGGAGGGTCTATTTGCACCCGGGTGCAAATAGCATCTATCCACCTGTTCCTGTCCACTGGCTCCACAAAAGAAATATAAAAACTATGTTGCTTGCATAGTTGCACATCACTTAAATGGCTGAAGGTACCAAAGTGGGATTCAAATACACAAAGCATAATTAAAAAAATAATAATAATGATGACAGGTCTTGTCCCTGGATATTTATGGTTATTTATGTTCGTTCATATCAATGTTTACATTTATGTCATTTTCTAGGCTGACAATCCTAGAGCTGCTAAACGGTCTTTCAGTATTTTTTAAAACAATGACAATAAAGATCTATTCTATTCCAACAACGTCGATAATAATAGTAATAACAACAACAACAACTATAGGCCGAAAACGTAAAACACTGTGTTTTAGTCAGAGATTCGGAGGAAGGATACTTGTGACTGGGTAGGAGTTGACAAGAATGAGAGAGTAGAGCAGGTAGTGACAGCTGTCTTCTTGCAAAGCCTGGGCCAAAAAGGCTCTGCTCAGCTGGAAACGAGGAAGCCGATGGTGCAACCGAAGAGCGCTGGTCAGAGCATTGGCCAGTAAGGCGCGCTGATAAAAATTCGCAGCCTCGTGCAGTCTGAAAGAAGCGATTAAAGAGCGCAATTAAGCAAGCCACTGAAGTAACCCTCAGCCTATCCGATCATCCCAACCTTTATAGATTTGAATCATCTAAATAAGGCCATCCCAGGAACCCAAAATAAATTTTAATTAGCTCACATATAAGAAAAAAAGACTCACCCTAAGAGTGGTAGGATGAATAAAACAGAACAGTAGACTGTGAACAAGCGCGAGAGCCACATAGCCGTCTCCAATTTGTTGTTCAACATATATTGCTGCAATAAATGGGGAGAAAATAAAGACAGTCATTGACACTACTAGACATCCAACCGATCTAAAGCAAAATACATTAAAATGAAAGGTACTTACCACAGCACCTTGATTAGGCGGACTTGTGTTTTCATTATCTGCCATTGTTAAATTTTCCTTTGCAGTTCTGCTTCTGTAGAAGTGTAGGACACTTGAAATTAAACCCCCTGAAACTCATTCAAGATTTTGACTTAGATGTTCAGTTAGTAAGTACTGCTGCATGTAACAACCGAGTTCCACATATTAAAACATGGAGAGAGAAAAAAAAGATAAACCTGCTTTAAATACCCCATAATTCCCACCATGTATAAATGTTTGATGTTTCACTAATTTTGACCTATATCAAATCTTTAAAGTGATAATTGTAATGATTAATAAGAGTTAGCAGTCTAAAGTGTGTCCAGCAGAAACTTGAGGACGTTTCTCATCTTTCCCCAGTCATCATAGCTACATTAAAATTGTAAGTGGAAGAGTCTGAATATCTAATTTGTTCTGCATTATCTGGTCTAGTGATCTGAAGTTCCCCAGTTCAAATATCATTATGGTTATATTACCATTGGGCACTTCAGCAAAGCCCTTAAATGCGAAATGCTAAAGGAACTAGCTGGTAAATAAGTAAAATGCAAAAAAATAACAATACTAGTCTAATGGTGACGAAGACCTAAACCAATACCCAATGAAACGATCAAAGCAATTAGAGGAAACGTGAATGTTGCAATTTCGTTACTGCTATTATGCCATTAAACAATGTACGTACATAAAAATAAATTACACTCTGCAAGACTAACTCAACAATTAATAAAATTAATTAGTGTCATAGACAAAGTACATTTTATATTAATATAAGATAGTACGATCTTTGGAACTTGAAACCAAAATCTTTTTTTCAACGTTATAGTGGTTTGTCAGTCAGCCTTGGCTGTAACTAACTAATATTTAAGTCCGTGATACGATCTTTGAGCAACATGGTTATTATGTACCTAGCTGTTCTGGTTGATTTTTAAGCTAATGTAAATTATGAACGTAGAAAATTGCTTTAACGCAACACGACGCCTATGCAGAGCATTTCGTTCATCAACGCGAGAAAACAAACCACTGTTTACTTTACACCATGTGTAAACTGCTAAAAAAATGAATGAATGAACACGAAAGCTCAGTCACTACCCTAGGAAGCTAACGAAGGAGCGAGATGGAATGTTCCGGAATTAGCATAGGTGCTAGCTAGCCAGCCTATGTTTAAAGGTTGTACGACATGAAAGGAATATACTTACCTGAATATAATACACGCGACTGAGCTTTAGTTTACTCCACCTCTACCTCTGAGAAAAACGAACAACTGACAGAGTGTACTTATGCGGTCTTTAAAAGCCCCCTACCACATGTACGATAAACCTTTTCCTCGGCTAGTCTTCACTTCTCGTTACTCTGCTCAAACCGGAAATCTCGCTCAACTTGCTCTCGCGATATTCTATCGGTCCCTCAGCATAAAAATTCCCCAATCCACCACGAGATACATCTGTGATGCAATATGAAGTATATTTACAGCACCAAGGAAAAGATCGAAATGTCGAAATGATCCTAAATATTTCCTCATCATTTCAATTTAAATGCGTAAATCGTGTAAGATTTATTCAAACTTTTCACACATATATACAGCCAAGCTTAACAATGTCGGTTTTCTAAGCATACAGTGCCATGCAGTGTTCACGTTAAGACAATGCTTAATTCATTTCCGATTTCTGTAGCTGAGATCGCATAATCTATGTGTTGGAAATAACAATACAGTGAGATCAAAGATCCTCGTTCAAATGGCACAAAAATTAACCAGGTCGCAGGTTCCACCGAGATTTGAACTCGGATCGCTGGATTCAGAGTCCAGAGTGCTAACCATTACACCATGGAACCACAAGATACACTGTATTTTAAACTTTGTAAAAGAATTGTTTATTCGGAAGTAAAACGTTATAACGTAAATGTGTGATTAAAATTTATGTTAGGATTATACTTTTTACACACGGCGTGTCTACTTCTTTAATGACATGGATAGAAATTGAATATGATAATCCCAGTAAACCTGAGATTTATAGGTGTCGCTATCTTCATATATGCAAAATTGAATTTTAAATCATGTCACCCACAAGAGGTCGCCACTTAGCAATACATTTGTATAATTGTCGTTCTCTAGAAAGATGATAATGTACAGGGAATCATTTCATTACTGCAAGGAAACCTGCTGTACGGTGACGGTATAGTTACACATTTCAGGTAATATTACTACTTTTCCATGCACGTTTAATCTACATGCAATCTCACGTTCAAAGTATGAAATCCTCAAATGTTAGGCCTATATTAAATATGTTACATAGCGTTCAATAATAAACTGTTTTCAGATGCATTTACAGATCTTTATATAAATTGTACTTATGCTGTAACTGTTAGGCCTACACAATCCCAAAAGAAATAAGACAGAAGAAAAAGAAAAGTTTACAAAACGCAGGTGATTGTGTTTCATAAAACACTCGCCAGATGGCGCACAATAGAACACTGCTTCCCTGTCACCTTAATTGAGCAAGGCAGCAGCCGAGGGTAATTAGTTTAGAAGATCATACAGATAGCATTTTTAAAATATGTACTGTGCATTTAATGTTTGTGAAATTATATATATTTTGATTTTTGGCAGATAGCCGTATAATGCATTTTCAGTTGCTTGAACGTCAACTGGAAATATAGGTAATGCTATGTTAAATCGAATTGTTTCTGTGCAAAAACCTAATTAGGCATTTAAAAAGGTTAACGCCAGCGCCTGAGACGGTTTTTGTTTAATAATCCTATTACTGACGACTCATCATGTATAAAATGGTGCAGAAGGATGCAAAGTTCCCACTCCTTTAAGTCTGTCAGAGAAATAGACAAATCCCACCGTATAGCAACAAAAACGGATATATTGTTGTCTCCCAGGTTGGTTCAAGTTCGCTGTAAGTACTTATTGTTATGGTGATTTTAACGGATAATTTCATTTGTTTTTGGCTCCGTTTGTATTACACTGTAGACCTTATGCTCATATTTCCATTTTAATTGCTCAACGGAAGATTAGAAGCTTCTCACGTAGATATAGGAAACATTTCTCAAAACACATATGGTAGAAGCTGAGCGGCTCGATATGATGTTAGGCTACATGTGTACTTTCTGCATAAGGATGCGTTTGTTTTTTAAAATATTTATTTAAACCTAAATATTTAAAAGAATGTGGATTAAATAATCAATATCTATATTTACCTTATTAATTCTAACTTTGAAGTGATTTATTGTTTTAGGCTTAAGGCCTACTTCTTAAATATGTGACGATAGCCATAACAAATGCGTTGTAGTACAAAACACATTTCGAATATTACTATATCAAGAGAAGGCTCTATAGTCCTGAATTTTCCCATTGGCTTATTGTGCATATATTCTATTTGTTTGTTTAATATCTAAATTTCGTCATCTTCTGTTTCTGTTTTGTGCGGTGCTTCTCGGACTTTATTTCCACTTGTATTATTAGTCCCACAGTGCATTCGTTGAGCATGAACACACACAAAAATACAATTTGTTAAGATTGCATTTCTCATTAATATACTGCAAACGAATTTATGGAAAGAAAACGAATAGCAAAAACATAACCGTAAAAATAATACATGGATTAATGCCATTATTTTAATATATTACCATTGTTGTTTGAACTACGATATGCCATTGTAGGATCCCCTTTGCATTGCTTGAGTAGTATGTAATGAATACTGACGATTAGGACGCTATTTGTTAGATTTAAAAACTTTATTGAAACTTTATCTGAAACGAAAATTCTCGTTATATTTCTGTTCCATTATTCGTGGTCGGTTATTTCAAAAAATCTCCACCAACTGCTACCAAGCATTTTCAGGACAATCTGATGTAGAAAATTCCTTCAGACTAAAGGGAAACGGTGAACAGGTAAAAAGAAAAGAAAAGAAAAGAAACCAAAGCTTCAATAGAAGTTCCTTTGGAATCAGAGGAAAGCTTGTGTTATTTTCCCAGCTGTACTGAAATAAAAAGAAATCAAGCAAATGGGAAAGAGAATAGAATTGAAAAGCCTAAAAACAAAACCGTGACAAGTGAAAAGATCCCAAGAAATTAGAGTGGAATGACCACAGTAAATAAGACTGGGCCTTTTTAGTTGTTCTGTGAATTGTGATTTGAAAACATTAGACAAGCGACCAAAGGAGCTTTTCACGTCCTTTATTTAAAAATAAGAAAAGCGATGAGGAAGACTTTATTAAAAACAAACCATAAAAGGTAGCATCGATCGAACTTGTGTAGTAAAAATTAAAAACAAATCCAAACAGCTTTGTTTTTTCTCAGTGATACTTAAATAATAAATACACTTTAACAGATGAGTATATATCACATCTGTAGGCCTATACTTTAGCGGGTCGAATACATGATTTAACATAGAGTGGTGTGATTTATCGAAAAAAATGTGTTAAAACGTTTAAACATTAAATTTAAAACACTCAAAAATAACCTTACGAGTTGAATAACCTGTGTGTATAAGGCATTTGTTCCTTCGTTCAAATGCAACTAGGCACTGTCACTTCGTAATTGTGCGTACAAAATAGACTGGGCGTACCCATACATTCCTGGCAGCCTGTTTTGCCTTTCGCGACGCGTATTCTTTTATAGTCTTTTCTCGCGTTAGAAGTCGATTTGATGGAAGACTTGACTCTTAGGAAGAAATCATTTGAATTCATATTCGTGTGAAATCTTTTTGCTGTACGATTTTTAAACAGATTCAATGTATATTTGCAAATGGACTAGTAAGACTCAGAAACTACATATTAAGTAGATTTATTTAACATATATACTCACGGTGACTACAGGATATATATATATATATACACACACACACGCACATATATATATATATATATTCCGCCACTAATAACTTCGTTTTCAGCGTTGTTTCTCGCTAACATGCAGGGTGGAGCCCGTGGTCAGATAACTGCCTGCACAAATTCCGCATTAACTGTTGTGTATCTTTCAATGTGAAATTTCTGTAGTGCGTTATCTCTGCGGATTCCATTTTTGCAATGTCACACCCCTTTGTCTCCTTTTGTCTTCATATTTTCCCAAATCTATTTTATCTCTTAATTTTATTATGGATCTATAGAATGTAGTACATAGGCAATTAAACATATGTATTATTTATATAATAGTAAGAGGAGTTTAACATTTCGGTAGATGTTGCGTATTAACGTATATATTAACGAATTTGCGTATTTAGATTATAGTAGAAAAACGTGACTAAACTTCAGCTAATCTAGAGTAGATGTTATTTACGATTCGTGTTAATAATTGTGTAACTGTTAAGATACCTGAGCTAACCCTAACTTAAATGCAGACTGAAACTAATTAGATTAAAATATTTATAAATATATATAGGTCTAATAAAAATATTTTAAACAACTCGACCGTCCTGCTCCCAAAAGGAGGCATTGTTAGATAACCCCAGAAGAGCAAATGTTAAAATCCAAGCTATCGTTATTGCTTTATCAGACTCAATCAGGAAATGAATTAATCAATGCACAAGCAGATACAACGTGCAGATCATTTGCAAGTAATGGATGGATATTGCGATGTGCCGATATTATTTTCTGTCAGTCAAGGTAACAAAGTGAACATGTATTGCATATATATTAAAAATTATACACTCATCGAGTGGGTTTGATGCTCATTTTATTGAAGCGCTGCGGAAGGTGAGGTCTCCATGGAATAATTTTTCTGAGTGTTATTCTCGCAGGAAAAATATTTCAGAAATCCCCTTAAACGGCCGCTAAATTGAGCTGTTCCGTAACAGAATGCAGAACCTGGTAGTTATTGTCGGCTTGTTTAAGGCCGGTCTAGGTAGGCCTAGGCGTGGGTTCATTTTCGTTCTACAGCGCCTTGCTTCAGTGATAGGATGTGTTACGACCCACGTTCATTTAAATATGTTCCCCTAGAACAAGGAGGGAACCAGTGGAAGACCCGTACTTGTGCACATATTTGTGGAGACTGATGATAAGTGTCACGATGAAGCTTAAACCACGGTATTAAATTGTCAAAATGGAAAGATTTCCCTAATAATATGCCATTCATGGTGAATTATGGTATTTGAGCTAGCTGTAGACAGATCTGGAACAAATACGGCGTACGAGAGAGGTCATTAAACACACACGCAACTGCCAGAGGTCAGATGGAGTTCTTATGGCTCACGCTCACACAAATTAGAAGGAAAAAAGACGCAGTTGAAATACGGGACCTCGCTGAAAAGCCTACGTTGACATTATGGCTGTTTTATGCAGTTGCATCTTTGCCTCAAAATGTGATGTAAAAACACGACTTCACAGAATAAAAAGAATGAACTTCATAAGGCTGTGGACATTTCAATGGTTCGTTTAACTCGAGGCAATTC